GCGAAGCTTGTACTCTTGTTTTGATGGCGAACATTTTTTTTTTTTTTTTTTTTTTTTTTTTTTTTTTTTTTTTTTTTTTTTTTTTCTTTTTTTTTCCTCTTTTTTTTTTTTCTTTTTTTCCCCTTTTTTTCTTTTTTTGAGGCGGCTGTTGTGTCATTTTACTTTTGCATTTCAATGACATAAGTCTTGAGTGAGGTTTTGTCATTTGTCCCGAGTTCTATTCTGACTTAACAATTTGTTTTCCATTTTCTCTTGGGGAATTGGTTGAGCACACAGGGACGTGGCTGGCTCCACTGCGTCGTTTCCTGCCCGCTTTTTCGGATGTCAAAATAGTTCGTTTGATACATTTGTGGTTCTGCTCGGTGTGACAGCTGAATGATTGTGGTCCTTTGCTCTGTGCGAAGCGTGCTGCCAGGTCTTTGCTTCTGCTCACTATCGCTATTGGAATCATGCCCTGACAGTGGTGAGCGTCTCAGTTGTTTTAGTCCTTTACTCGTTCTCGTTGTTCGCCCCACAACCTGTGAATGATTGTACTCGTCTGATTATTCCCATTCCTTGAGCTATAGCCTCTAAATGATTTTAGTCCTGTCACTTTGGCGGGTGGTGTCACAGTCTTGTTTCTGGTCCGTCCTCGAAATGGTTTGTTTGCAGCAGTCTGAAATCGCTACCAAACGCATTGTTGCTCTCAAACTAGTCCCTTGAATGTTGAACATTTGTTTTGACGCCTACTTCATACAGAACAAGGCCTCTTTCGCAAACATGTCTTAGAGTCCTCTGCATATGGCCTCTTTGACAAACATGTCCTACACAGTTTGCAAGCAGTACAGTTCACATTTGTGCACTTATCCAGATTCATGCGATGGATCCAATCCACTTTGGTGGTCGGACCTCGGCAGTGCATTGCCCCCATTCACCGTTGGAAGCTAACTCTAGAAGATGCCAAAGTACAAGATTACTGAGTCGACAGGTGACTCAAGAAGATGACCAAACACAAGATAACTCTTGGCCAATGAAGTCCTAAAAAAACGTGATGCAATCAGTACTTCAACGTCACGATATCAGTGAGCGAAGGAGGAGAAGGGAAAAAGAGACTTGGAACGTGGGACTGGAAGTAGACATTTTTCACTTCTTCCTTGGGCTTCCCCTCACCGCCTCGTTGTCTACGGTGTTCAAGTAACGAGTAGAACAGTTCGGCATCGCATCGAGGTGCCACCTGGCACGGTCCAGACGAAGACAACGTCTGGACCGTGCCACGTGGCACCTCGATGTGATGCCGAACTGTTCTAATCGTTACTTTCAGGACAGCATCGAACAGATATGTATTTACATCTCGTGCAATCAACCACACATCCCGATCTTCCTTCACATCGCGTCCAGCTCAACGATGAAGACAGGTGGTGAATGCCACGCAAGTAGACAATGTGGTGTGTGCCACATCAACAAGTAGACAATGTCGCATCTACCACATCAGCATGTAGACAGTGTAGGATGTGACACGTCAACAAGTACACAGGACATCAAACGTCGCATCAGCGTGTAGACGGCGTGGCACGTGCCACGTCAGCAGAGGCTGGCACCAAGGAAAGGAGGCACCGGCATGCCTCCAGGGCTCTCGCGTCGTCGTCGCTATCTGCTTTCGAAGCTGTCTTGGTACCTGCACGTCAACAAGTGCGTGTGTCTGACCCTCTGCCCCGGTTGGGTCAATTTTTGCGTTGACTGCCGGTTCTCAAGCAGTTCACTTCGGTCAAAATACTTCACGTCCAGACCCTGGAAAACACCTTCCCCCTGAGGATGATTGTAGGACTTTGTTACAATTCGACGAAACCTCCTCACGGGCTGAATCATCGATATAGGACTATAAATCCATTTCTTTTTATCTCTGAAAAGCGTCCACTGTTTGCCGTCAGGAGGCCCTTAAAAAACTCTCTCCCAACAGCTCCCTCTCCGCTTCCGAGGCTGAACGCTCCTTGGAAACGTCGCCCAAATAAAACCTCGCTCTAAAGGATACTAAACGAGCATAGTGGGCTGGCGGAGCAACAGAAACTGATCTTGTGCAGGCCGCATATGTGTAGCACAAATTATTTGTCGGAATAGGGTGTGCACTCCACCATGTCTTCCACATACCCCGAAGAAATCCTTCTCCCTGTACATTCGACCTCCGTTGACATCACATTCCGGCATCAATCCTGAAAGTTAGTCCACGGCAGTCAGCAGTAAAAACACAACCTTTTTTTTTAACTGTCACTCAATTCCGGCAAGGGGTGATCACCCGCTGTCTCCCAACAGCTTCCTCTCCGCTTCCGAGGCCGAACGCTCTTCTAAAACGTCGCCCAAATAATACCTCACTCTGAAGGATGCCAAATGAGCATAATAGGCTGGCGGAGCAACTAAAACTGATCTTGTGCAGGCCGCATATGTGTAGCACAAATTATTTGTCGGAGTAGGGTGTGCAGTCCACCATGTCTTCCACATACCCCGAAGAAATCCTTCTCTCTGTACATTCTACCTCCGTTGACATCACATTCCAACATCAATCCTGAAAGTTAGTTCACGGCAGTCAACAGTAAAAACACAACCTTTTTTTAAATTGCCACTCAATTCTGGTAAAGGGTAATCACCCGTTGTCTCCCAACAGATCCTCTCCGCTTCCAAGGCCGAACACAACCTTTTTTTATACTGCCGCTTCCGAGGCCCTGCAAAACACAACAATCTTCCGGCCATCGTAGACCACTCGCCGTCCCCCAAAATCAGAAACCGATGATGTTCCTGCAACTGTGCAATTATGATCTTATTCGTCCCTCTCGAAACGTCCGGGGAAATGACCACATCGTAATGATGTATTTCCCACTTGGAGACAGTCACTAAAAATTGGTTGGCTACGAGTACTCGCCATTCCCCAACCTTGTCATAATCAGGCTTTAGCACTCTGCTCGCTCCGGCGGGGCCCTTCTCTGCCAATGTAATCGCCTCCAACCTTGCACTGAGCGCCCTCTAAACTGCCGCTTCGGTAGCCAGACGTGGGGGAGGAGTTGCAGGTGGAAGAGGTCCACCATATCCACCCTCCTAGCCCGTTGTCTCCCAACAGCTCCCTCTCCCCTTCCGAGGCTGGACGCTCCTCTGAAAGGTCGCCCAAATAAAACGGCTCTCTAAAGGATGTCAAATAAGCATAATATGTTGGCGGAGCAACTGAAACTGATCTTGTGCATACCATATACGTGTAACACAAATTGTTTGTCAGACTGCTGTTTTTCGCTGCTTTCTCTCTTCCTCTTCCTCTAGGACCCACAACTCTCCCCCATCCGTTTCGCCACGAACTCCTCCAAACATCAGTCATGTTCAAAAGGCTTGCAACAGTTTTGCACTCCACCTAGTGCACAATGTTCCTCGTTCGGGTCGAGCTGGATCCAAGTCGGCCGGTCTAATGCTTTGGTAAAACCCTTTGTACACCATGACTCCGCCACCAAGGGGTCGACTGCCCGCCTCCTTCAAATATGATCGGCACTCGTCGCGGGCCGAATCATCGATATAGGACTAGAAATCGATTTCTCTTTATCTCTGAAAAGTGCCTTCTGTTTGTCGTCGGGAGGCCCTTCAAAAACTCTCTCCCAACAGCTCCCTCTCCACTTCCGAGGCTGAACGCTCCTTTGTAACGTCGCCCAAGTAAGACCTCGCTCTGAAGGATGTCAAACGAGCATAGTAGGGTGGCGGAGCAACTGAAACTGATCTTGTGCAGGCCGCATATGTGTACCACAAATTATTTGTCGGAGCAGGGTGTGCACTTCACCATGTCTTCGACATCCCTCGAAGAAATATTTCTCCATGTACATTCTACCTCCGTTGACATCACATTCCGGCATCAATCCTGAAAGTTAGTCCACGGCAGTCAGCAGTAAAAACACAACCTTTTTTTAAACTACCACTCAATTCCGGCAAGGGGTCATCACCCGCTGTCTCCCAACAGCTTCCTCTCCGCTTCCAAGGCTGAACGCTCTTCTATAAACGTTGCCCAAATAAAACCTCGCTCTGAAGGATGCCAAATGAGCATAATAGGCTGACGGAGCAACTGAAACTGTTCTTCGCACCCCGAAATTTATTGGAAAACCCTTAAGTGAGAATCCGACCCCCTTTGTAATTGTTTGACCCCTTTAGCGGTGGGTCCTAACCCCCAAGTTATTCTTCGCACCCCAAAATTAATTGGACCCCCCTTAAGTGAGAATTCGACCCCCTTTGTAAATTTTGGACCCCTTTAGCGGTGGGTCCTAACCCCCAGGCTATTCTTCACACCCCGAAATTAATTGGACCCCCCTTAAGTGAGAATCCGACCCCCTTTATAATTTTTGGACCGCTGTAGCGGTGGGTCCCAACCGCCAGGGTACTCTTAGCACCCCGAAATCAAGTTGATCCGCCTTAAGTTGAAATCCAACCCCTTTTTTTATTTTTAGACCCCAATAGCGGTGGGTCCTAACCGCCAGGGTATTCTTGGCACCCCGAAATTAAATTGACCCCCCTTAAGTTGAAATCCGACCCCCTTTATAATTT